CATGTGCAGTGTTTTTCTTAAGTTTGGGAGGGGCTGACATAGAGCAGAGAGGTTTTTTGGGGGGCCATTTACTGGTTTTGCTAGGAGACATGACACCAATCCTGCCTTCTAGCCACAGGCTCCGTGTTTTGTAATATTTATGTATGACTTGAACATTTCATCGATCTTTAGATCCTCGACTTCCAAAGTTAAGACTTACATCTAACATCTGCTGCTACTTTGAGGCCCGTTGGATTTGAAACCACCTGCCTGACGAGATGACGTTCACAAAAATCTGTGACCACCTTCTATTACATGATGGTTTTAACCATCTGGTGTCTGGTTTGTCATCAATCTTGCACGTTGGTGTTGATGATATTCTAGTTTTGCCTGTCTGCATTTTGTAACTTCTATCCTCACTGTTACCATTATTATTATTAGTAGTAGTAATAGTAGTGTTTTTATCTGGGGGTAGTGTGTGGGTACCTGGGGTTGGTAAGGTTGTAAAAGCTCTTCCAGATTTGCAGCATGTGTTTACAGGTGAGCAGAGCTTCTTCGGGTCCTCTACACATAGCCTCCAGCTTCACCTTGGTATACAACAGACTACACAGACACACACAAACTCACAATCAGCCTGATCCAGCTAAATTAAAAAAAAAAAAAGAAGTCATGAGACATCGTGTGTGTCTCAGTGTGATGTCTGTGAGCTCACTTGAAGTTTTCAGGGTACTCAGAGAGAGCCATCTCTATGATATTGAGAGCATCGTGGTAGTGTTTCTGGGCAGAGAGAAGCAGGGCCAGCAGGTGAAGGGAGTGGACGTCATCTCCTTGAAGCTGCAGCGCCTGTCGAACATAGCCTAGCGCCTCGGGGATCTACACACATACACACACATATGTACACAAACTACAGGTTTTCACAACATTTGGGATAAAAAGCACTTTGTTAAATATGTGCAACTCCTTGGAGTTTTGATTTTGGACGTCTGCCTTTAGTGTCACAAACACTTGTGTTGATTTTCTCTCGCTACGACTGTACATCGCATTACCTGTCTGGACACGGCAAGCTGCAGCGCCAAGTAGAAGGCTGCCAAATGGTCAGTTGGAGACAGACTCTGAGCTCTACAGATGAGAAGAGAAAGGAGATGTTGTGTTCAAGAGGCAGCAAATAAAAAATTAAATAGGGTTAGATAAAACTTTAAAGACCCCAGTGGAAAAATAAGGTCAGCGCTGCAGCAAGACGGGTGGAAAAGGGAAGCAAATGCTGACCATATTTATGGGAATAAATAATGTCAAAGCCAAACACTGCGCTCAGATTAGTCATAGCACAAGCACGAAGGTTCAAATGAGTCAAAAGCATAATGTAATGGTTTGGCAGGGTGGTAAGTTTAAAGTGTAAAAAAGAAAACAGAGTCCGAACCTCTGGAAGGCTCCCAAAGCTTTCCTCTGGTATTCCTCCTGTGTGCTTCGCAATGACGCTAAAGACATGCAGAGACACAAACACACCGATGGGTTTTACAGTAACACCGATTAGGAATCACTGCAGCTTTTTGCACACTTCTTTTCATACTGCAAAAACATCCGGGCCAGAAACAGATGATGCATCGCCTCATGTAAGCAAGCGCTCTATAGAGATCTGCCATCATACTCATCACAAACAAAAAGAGTCCCTTGACAGCACACATACCCAAAAGCAAAACCACTTGAAAAGTGGCTGAAAACTCAAGAAGGTGAATGATTTTAAATGAGGAGAGAACTCATGGCTTCAACATAGACTTAAAGAACTATGACTCACACTTCCCTTACTTTGAATTTACTCAGAGTGAGCAAAGCTGTGATAAATTTGCAACAGTATACAACAGGGGTGTCAAACATAAGGACCACTGGACTGTGAAGTAGGGTAAAAATTTTGGACTTTTAACTGCGTTTTTATAAATTTTAAAGTCTGTCCTAGTGCTGAAGACCTCCTACACAGCTATTTGTACAACACAAAACTTGTGAAGCAATATACAAACAACTAAATGACAACGTTTGTACGACGTGTCCACAGGAAAATAAATAAAATATGGCATTTTCTGGCAATTAACAATAGTCTTCCGCTTTCTAATTACAGGACAGTCTGGGCTCTGAGCTACCAGACCCTTTACTGTATTTTTACATATTTATTTCTTACAATTTATGCCCAAAGAGTTGTGCCGACACACTCCTTTCATTTAAATAGAGCAGCATTTCTTCAAAATGTAATAAAACGTGAGGTGTGGTGCTTAAACTGCACTTCTTTTTTCGCAGGGATTAAATGTGCAGTTAAACTTCTTTACACTGACAGAAAGACGATATTCACTGGTCTGGCCCACTAAAGATCAAGTGTAATATGCATAAATAAATGTATAAAAAAGATGGAAGCTGCATCTGGGTCTGAAAAGTGAAGACCTTAAACCTGCATTCACTTTAATGGCCACCAGGGGGCAAAAAGAATTATGATCCCATAGAAACCTTATCGAAACGGTCAGGACCTCGTAAACCTTGGTTTATGGCCTCAGTTGCTCATTTCAGGTCATACTGTATAAAACGTTAGGACCATTTTGTAAATACTGGTCTGTTTAAGTGTTACAAAGGAGGATTACACAGATATGATCATTGCAATGAGCGCCCAGTTTCATATACAGCTCCACCCCTTGCTTGTCATATTAAGTGGTTGAAAGTTGCTTGAACGGGAAAGAGCAGCATCGAGTTCACCGCGAAGAGGAAGGAGCTCAAAAAAAAGAAAAGAAAAGAAAAAAACCCCATCAAACGTTTCATTGTTATCGCTCAGTTTCACTTCACTTCACCACAAACAAAAATTCTTTGTGTTTGTGCTGTTGTTGGGCAATAGGTGTCATAACAGACAAACTAACAGGCTCAAAAACATCTCCTGACACTGGCCCTGGTGACAGGTCTGCAGCTGAGAATTTTTAGCCACGCCCCTGCATATTTAAATTTGCCCACTATTCCCTTCGAGGCCATCTTCTCATGAAGTGCTGTGATGGATTTCTTGGAAATCCTTTCATGGCTTTTTGCACATGAACTGAATTCCTGACACTGCGACAAAATGACCCTACAATTTAAATTTTTAACAGTGTGAAATAGGCCATAGGAGGCAGCAGGGACAAATTTATGATGCACAACCATTTGAAAGCTGGAAAAAACAAAATCACAAAAAAGAGAAAGCCCTCCTGACCTGGGCTAGGCTTGAAAAGAAAATGTATTAAGGGTGATTCAGACTCTGGCCCAAATCAGCCAATGAGTTTGCAAACTTGTAGCTTTTCCTGATTTCTTTTCACCCAGAAAAAATAAAAATCTTGCTCACACGTTCGCACCAAGAAAATGACTCAGGAGATGGAACTTCTCCTGAACAGACTTACCATCAGTGGCTTTGAGGCTGTAAACCAAACCTATAGCCAAGAAGCCTTTGGCTCTGAATTCAGCTGCTTTCTCTCCCATGTCAATCACCATCTTTCCAAAGCACTCTCCTTCATCCAGCTGAATGATGACAGAGGGAAATTTATAGGAACAGAAAGAGAAAGTTAGACACCGGTGAACATGTTGGAGGCTTTTATATTAAGAACTAACAAACCGCCCTCACAGGGCAGCTCAGCTGTACGGTTCGCACCCAGTGGAGAGGTCCGATGCACAGCTTTACGGCCAGCAGCGGGATGGTGGGGTCATCGGGCTTCAGGCGGATACACTCCTTGAGAACCTTAACGGCACGAGCTGATTTGCCTGCTGCCATCAGCGACAAGGCGAGCTGATACCACAAGTGGAACTCCTCAAAGGCGAACTTCATGGCTCTCTCCAAACACTGAAAGAAGGTACATTTTTCTGTTTTATCGGGATGTCTCTAGGCACCAACGTTTGTTGAGGAACAAAAGCAATGACAATACTATCCCCACAGTAACTGTGACTGCGGTCCACAGAGGGGTCATTCACCTCTGACAACATCTCATACTGCCCTCTCCTGCCCAAAGCTATGGTCAGCAGGTCATACACCACCGAGGCCGACTGCAAACTGATGATCCGATCGTTGTTGTGTTCAGGAATTCTGCTTAGGACGGCATCACGGTTGGCCTGAAACACACAAATGCCCACGTGTGCATAGGTATGAATATGGAAAAACCAGCTCAGTGTTCTGGCATGGTTTACTCTGCAGAGAGTTTGTGCCTCACCATGGATTCGCTGATGAGCAGCAGCAGCAATGCTTCTTCTGTGTTCTCCTGAGGGCAAAACAGACTGCGAGGAGAGGAACGCAGCGGGAGGCCGATGGAGTTGGACGAGGATGAGAGGGAGAAAAAAAAAGGGAGGGAAAAAATGGAGAGAAAAGTGATGAGAACAAATTGGTGGAAAAGTACACTGGCAGCAGATTTAATCTGGTATCCACGCCGAGTGCTTTGCTTCTTACTTCTCTCCCGAGTACACTCGTGGGCGTCGGCTTAGGCTGTAGCTCTTGCTATGAGTGTGTCCTTGGCGTGTCGGATCGTCCAGGGGCGACACGACGGGTGGGTCTTCAAGAGGAGACCAGTAACTCTGTTCGCACATTCCTCTGAGCAAGATCTCTGCAAGCTGTCTGGCTATGGTCTGTACGAACACAACACTTGTATATTAACTTCTTATAGCACAGCACAGGCTTTAATCTGGACCCTTTTGTCATTAACGTACATCCTTATAAAAATTTACAACTATTGGATGTCTAACAGCCTGTCCTGGGATTCTTCCCAACAGACAGAGACAGACAGACGATACAGTTGTGGTGCAATTTGTGGAAGCAGTGACGTGTTTAAAGGAGTAATTTGACAATTTGGGAAATTTTTAAACTTATTACTTCTTGCTAAGATGAGAAGAAGTTAAAGTCGGCTGCCACAGACAGAAAGCCTCTGCATTGGGCTCTGTCATTCGTTTGTTGGTTAAGTGTTTGACTTTCAACTTTGGGGATGTGTAGATATAAATCATTTGCATTTTGGTGTCAGTGACCATTAGTTAACCTCACTATTGTTGTTAGAGGTCAGATTTGGAAACCCTTTTCCTTTTGAAGTACAAATCAAAAAAATCTGTGGACAGCAGTGCCGTGCAAGTTCTCTCTCCTTCTGTCTACTACTCGCTGAGGCATAACTCTAACTTTGCTTCAAACATTCTCAGAGTCATCATTTCATGTGTCAGTGTAGGTAAAATGATAGCACACCCATGAAAACTAAAGTTCTGGTGCACAAAATGTTTTCAGTTTGACTTCTGTCAGCTTAAATGTGCAACAACAATTTGTTCTGTACTGTGAAGATGCAGCAGTTTGAACAGACAGTCTTAAAAAAAACAAGAACAAAATCTTACTTCTAGTACCTTAAAGTACCTATGAAGCAAACAATTATGTTCCCCAAAAATTCCAAGCTGTTCCCTTAAGTGTTAATAAACTGTTCCTCACCATTCGTAGGTTCTGGGTGGTTCTGGTCTCAATAGCCCGAAGAATCTCTCGAAACCTGCCCACACCTTGTGTCAGGTTGCTGCAATGATGGAGACAGGAAACAGGAAAGACAAAAAATATTACCAGCTGCTGAACGACACTGAGTCCAGTGCACATACTCGTCTAATTTTGTGTGTATTGGTTTTCTTTGACTACTTGAGTAGCTTTGCATGATTCAGAGTTCAAAATAATCCCAATTTTTCTGTATATCTTCTGTCTGAAACAAGTTGATTTAGCTCAGTTTCATTGGCTGCCCCTCGGAAACAAACAGAAACCGTTAGATAAAGGTGTTGAATTAGGTTCCACTTACTTAGTTTATTCTGATTACATTTTTTAAAAGCCAGCCTATGCATGCACCAGAACACAACTGTTTAGGAGACCATACTCTTTCACATCATTTACTATTTTCTTTAAACAATTTCAAAATGGTGCAAATATAAACTCACTAATTCCAGACACTAATTTCCAGCTCCATGTTTTTATACTTGGACTCTCTGAATATCTTTGCATGACTATCAGTTTAAAATAATTCTGTTTTTATATTGTGGGAACTCTAAGTTTGAATTAAACTGTTTCAGCTCCACCAACCTTTTAACTTTCCTCTGACTGGCTGCTACTGCTGCCACCAGCAGGTGGGCTTTCTGCTCACAGGCAACGTCATGTGACTGAGATTTCCATACTGGAAATCTTTAACCATCCAAACCATATCATCGCCACATTTACATCATGCAAAGCCAAAAGCAGAAGAAACTCTCTACACAGGATGACCTAATTTTTTAAACCTTTGGCCAAACACATGACAGGAGAGTTAAAGAGTAACAGGTCTTATTTAAAGTCACATTCCAGTATATACACACACAATATATTTTTATGGACACTTAATGCTGTGTGAGGCATTTTTTTTATGCTAGAAGCTTCAAATGCAACCATGTTATTCCTAGAAACTATGACAAGTTGCTGTGTGATGTCATATTTATACCTGAGACCAGACTTTAATATTTACAAAAACAGAGTATGTATACTGTCTACATATTTTTGGTTTGCTTCACAGCAAAAACACGCAGGCAACTTCACGCAGGCGACTACAAATCTATCACGAGGCGTCCAGCAGCTGCTGCAACACTGAAACCACCAGCAGCATTTAGCGCAACACCGCTGTGTGAACTGCTCTGAGCTCTACCGTGAACGTTACTTAACCGTATTCACACCTTTTTTTTTTGCTTTTATTCCACCTGTCAGCAGCTCTGTAACACCACAACTGCTGAATGAGTGAAGAATGCCCACAGAGGGCTGCTAAGATTTAAAAAAAAAAAGAAAAGAAAAAGAAAACATCAGCAAGAGCCAGAGAGGTAAAAACTTTCCTGTCTGATCTCTCAGGTTCACCACCATGTCTTCCCCGCCCCCCTTACCCATTCTTGAAGTGGATGACATGGGCTCTCTGAAGGCCCGTCTCTAGGAAGTAGCCCAGCTCCTGGTCCTGAGCTGTCGGGCCAGGCTTTGGACTGCGGTTCTGAATCCCTGCTGACAACGCCTATGCAACAACAAACAACAAAAAAAACGAGAAGTTTACTCAACCCCCCCTAACCTGAATCAATAAGACTTATTTTAATCTCAGGCGGCTCTGCATTTAAAAAGCAGACACGATTCTGCAGTGGAAATCACTGCATGACTTTTAACTGTTTACTTCTATTGATTTTAATTTGATTTTTCAACCTCCGCTTTATTTGATTTGATTTTGTCCCTCGGTGAAAATTAAACGTCCACAACCATCGTTCCCGTTGCAGAATTCTTCCACAAATTTCAATTCAGGATTATTCAAGTTCCACGTCTCTCTCTTATAATGTCTGTTTTTAGTAAATGACTTCAGGTGCTAAACTGGCTCATTGGCAGTCCAAAAATTGACGTCTGCCGGAAATATATTGTGTGTCACAAAGAGACAATATATGACAAAGAATCTGATATCAGGCTATATCGAAAAACTAAATCTGGTTACTAAATTTTTCCTTTTACTTTCTGGACATAATTAAACAAGCCTGAAACAACTTCTTGAGGTGCAGTCAAATTTTAACATTTAACTTTCAGGGTCAGAGGAGTCCACGTTTAAGGAAACGTAACAGTGTTAAAAATACCGGACCACTCCTGAAAGACTATTGACATTGTGCTTTTCTCTATCAAATAAGCAAGTGAACAGTGAAACCTGCTACTGCAGCATTTGCTCTCTCTCCTTTTTGATTATTAACTCTCTTTTTATTTCGGAGTTTTTAAAATGTTTACAGACGTGCAAACCACCAGAGAACAAAAGACAGCGATAAGGTAGTTTTGGAAAACAATAATTAAAAACAAAAAATCTCTTATAACTATATATTATATATACATATATACACGAAAGGTGGAGGAAATCAGTCTGAAAGCTACTTTGCATACTTTTGAATATAAACTAGAATACAGTAAAATACTTTAAGGATCAGGGAGTGCATTATAAGAGGACTGCACACCAGGAGAGATAAAGAGATTATTTTGGAGGGAAAAAAATGTTCCTTTAGTTCATTCCCTTAAGAGTTTCATCTCTGTGATTTGATGAATGTACCCACTGTTCCCAGTGTTGTTGTTTAAAGAAAAAAGTATATTTCCATGCTGTATAGCCCCTCAACGCTAAAGCACTAATAAGAAAGATGTTAAAAGATAAGCTATGCAAGTTTCTGGTATTAGAGTCTCAACAAACAATCAAATATCTCCCGTTTCAGCATTTGATAAGCTGCTTTTCTGCTTTAAAATAAACAGGTTTTCCCATCCATGTCTTAAATACATTATCGTGACATCGTTAAAGTATTCCTTAACTAGCACCTGTAATAATGCACACGTTTTGTTGAATTTCTCACAAGTATCACTACATCCAGGTTGGAATATTTGAGCTGCATCCTTCTCAGTTTTACTGCAGTTTGCTCAGTCTGTGCTCTCGGCAAATAAAGACGAAGAGATTTGTTTGCCAGTTGGCCGTCGAGGGCGGTGGCGCATCAGTCAAACTCAAACGCAGTCAGCAGGATGTTCATCACATGCCCATAAGGACAGTGAAAAACAACAACACGCAGAGAAAACGCTGCACTCTGTGAAGTCATCACAGCCTGACAACACACCTTCTCGGCCTCCTGCAGATAGAGCAAAGCAATGTCTCCAGACTTTTCGTAGCAGGTGATGATCTCCTGCTCCCGCTCGGTCATGCTCCTGTTGGACGCCGGAGACCCGGTGTTCTTATTGGATAGAGACGGTGAAGCAGCTGGGACTTTCTCTAGGCACAAACCTGAGGAAGAAAGAGAGAAGAAGAAACATGGTGTGACTGGGAGACATTTTGCCCTATTTGACACCATCACCTACTGTCACTGATGAATGTTTTCCCAGATTAAATCAGTTAAATACATTCAAAGACAAACAGTGCAGTCTGCGGCTTCTTTTTACATCTGTGGCACTGCACTGCCACCGTGTGGAGAGAAGAGGTGCTGCAGAGATTAGTGCTGATTAGCTTGATGACAGTTTAAGTGAGGTTAAGGAGGACACAAACAAGGACTGTGTATACCTTTAGTCGCATAAGACTCTGCTATCATAGACAGCCTGTACACAGGAGCTCCAGCCAGCTGCATGTCGTCCAGGTTCACCTTGCTGTAGTGCCCTGTCAAATCACAAATTATGTATTAATAAACTGACCTACTTATTCACTAAAATGAGGGGGAAAAAATGTTGAATATGAGAAATGTGAGTCACCTAAAGCATCTTTGTATTCTCCCTCCACATAGCACAGTTTGGCCATTAACAGGCTAGCTTCCTGGATGTAATCCGGCTAGAAGAGAGGAATAAATAAATAAATAAATAAATAAAGTCTCTATGTTCGGAGTTTTGATTTTCAGCCCAGTGGTTACCTTCAGGTTTCCTCTGTCCAGAGCAGCAGTGAGATGCTTCCTGACCTCCAGCAGTTTTGGCCGTTGGACCCTGGGACTCGTACCTTGCTTGATGGGATTCTCCTTCAGGTACGTCTGCAGCTTGCATTCACCCAACAGCAGCTCGCCCAGGTCATCTGGAACAAGCAGGAGGTCAGAGCAACCATGACATCACATCCTCTTGACCTCATCCAGCATGTCTCCAACACTTTGAGATCTCACAGTTGATCTATTATGCTCATGAGCATGAGACCCAGTTCAAAATAATCCTTATTTGTCTTACACTAGGTTTCTCCCTAATCTGCCTATTTCTGGTTGCTTGGTGTGCAGTTTGCATGTTCTCCTTGGATACTCACCTGTAAAGGTGTGCCATTTTCATTCATTATTTGCCTTATGACTTTAAGGCCTAATGCAGGGTGAACACCTGGTTAAAGTTCTCTCTCAACCACCTGAGTTTGTCAATGAGGTATTAACATCAACGCAGTACATGCAGTGCCTTCATCTACTTTATTCTTTGATCTAAGTTTCCTATAGCCAAGCTGTCGCTACAACCACATGCCAACAATGGCAAACCCTGTAACCTGTGTACGCTCACGCAAAATATCTGCCAAGCAACATGGACTTAATTTAATGCCATAAAAGTATGCAAAGAAGTAACACAGAAGAAAATATGGAAGTAACAGGGGCTCAAAACACCCCGAGTGTAAATTATGATGCATGAACTGAGGCTTAATGGTTATTCAGAAACTACTCAGGATTACAGTGAGAATGGCAAATCTGCACACGGAGAAACACTGCTTTGTTTGCACACATACCAGACAGAATTATGCACTCTGATCTGAATATCTTTACTAATGACTCCAAAACAAACAAACAAAAAAGGTGCTGGATAAAAATGCAAAACTGTGGAGACCAAACCTGTGTATAAAGTGATAGTTGCTACTTCCTTCTTTTGTATACTATCAGTGGTGATTCCCCAAATCCACATCTAGTCTACAGTGGACTTGAATTTAGGTCTTGAATTTACTAGGGACTAAAGAAACATCCCGAGGCTTCAGGTCATCATGAACAGACTTTTACGCTCTGTTATACAAAAACAATCTGGTGCTCACTAAAGAGGTTGTAGCTTAAACAAAGGCCAATTATGGCTTTTCATATACGTGAAACTGAATTTAACAAAGCTTGTTTTATTTTGTTTACTAAGTGGCCAAAATAATTACAGGAAAATGCCTCCGCTTCTTTTAACTTCACTGATGATATCACTGCAGTAAGTCTTATCTGTGACAGGAAGGGAATCTGCATACTGGAGTGAGGAACAGCAGCTGATGAGGTGGTAAAAAGACAACAGTTGGACCTTCGACACATCTCAAACTAAAGAGCTTACAGTTGACTCTAAAAGGGAAATAGTTCAACATCTCTCCTTTTCCACCACTGGCCATGTTGTTGGAGAGGGTCTCGTCCTTCTGCTTCCTGGGCAGCACTATACATCAATAGTTATCAAGGGACATGAACACCACTGTCATTTTTAGTAAAGCCCACCAAGACAGCTAAGAAAATACAGCATCAGCTGGTAAGGTATGATCCATGTTTATAGAACCGTTACAGAAAGTGTGCTTCCTTTCTCCATCTTGACTCAGGAAGCACAACCAATCAGGACAAACAACAGCTTGAAAAAGCAGTACATATAGCTCTCAAGATCATTGGATGCAGTCTACTTTCCACAGCTTCACACTATACCACCCCTGACCTTGCCTAATCTGCAAATCACCAGTTCATTCTTCTCCCATCAGGCAAAAGATACAGGTTTACTGGGATTCTGTTTACAGTTGTATTTGTTTTTACAGTTATACTTACTCTTCACTACTATATTTAAGTTGTTTTTAATTTAAATAACAGCTTTAATTTTTTTAGTTAAGGTGTTTTTACAGAGTTCCTGCTTTATTGTCTGCTTCTTTCAAATCTCACAATGAATCTCATCTTATTTTCATTTCATTCAAATGTCATTAAGAAAAGTGAGAAAGTCCTTCTTGCATGTAACTTTTATAATAACCAAAAAAATAAAAATAAGAATAAATTAAAAAAAAAAAAAGTCTGTCGTGAGTAACACATCAGCCTTACTTAACTGGTTTTATCTTTTAAACTAAAATATCACACTGCCGTTTACTGATACCCTGAGAAAGCGGTTTGACAGCTAGCACGTATTGTAGCTATCTTAGCCAACCAGAGAGAATTTGAAAAACTACCACATTTAAATATATAGTGGTTTCAGCAAACGCATGGCCGTCATTAAATAAATGTTATGGGGTACAACTTAGAACTATAACCTTCTGGAAAATTCTGCACAAGTAAAAATTGGCAGAGGTCATATTAATTTATTAAAGTATCGAGTAAGTACCCCGATAGCGCCCCAAATCGGTTTAACTGGTGGCAAGGGGACAGTGAGCTGAAAAGATAAATAGATAAATAAAACATGTGAGATAAATCTGTCGTTTTACTCTAGCGATGTTTCTTGAAGTACAATTCATAAAACGTTATTGATCCTCCACACTAGTCAAACACATCCAACGTTAAATGGATACATTTCTGAATGAAGTTCTGCGTGACAGGAAACTGAGCTGTCAGAACACAGGAACTCAATCACAGCAGCGAAAACTGTTCACATCTTCAGACTCAAACCTTCCTAAAGTTTAACAAAGACCTGTCTTAAAGTCTTTACGAGGTAACTGGCTCTAAGCAGAGGCGACAACTCCCAGCATCGGCTGCCTCTGCCAGGAAGTAGCGAGGACTGAGGCCAGGGAGGAGGCCCCATACACTGGATGAACGAACAGCGGAGAAACCCGGCACACTTCCTACCGTTTGATATCAGCTTAGCCGAGAGCTGTCGCACCAACTCTGGAATCTTGTCCCACTGGGCCTCCGAGCGGCATCGCTCTATCTCTATCTCCAGTCGTGAACCAGACTTCCTCGCTGTCATTTTGGCGAGTGAGGAGCAGAGCCAACTTGACCAAAACACCACCGGAGGAGCAAGCTAACGCTGGGTAAACCCCAGCATCCGGTCCCCACTTTCAAAATAAGACACACTAATTGTTTTATGACTATAAAAATGAAATAAAACACTGGTTGATTAAACTTAGCTGTTATTTTTGGCTCTTTGAGTACTGTCGGTGCCATTTGATCACGCAGAAGAACAATTAAAAATGTACCTTTAATGTTGTAAAACATTTATTATGAAGCAATCAGAAAGGAAATTTGTTTTTCCTGACGATAATAGGAAGTAGCCCTCAGAAACACGGTGAGGTGTAAGTAGGTGTAATGGCAGATTTGTCGTTGTATTTGGCGAATGTCAATGTTACATTGGGACAAACTATGGAAACTGAAAAGGTTAGTTGATGCTAATAAAATGTTTACTATTTTCTCTTTATGTGACAGCTCATATAAAGATTTGTAGTATTGATAGTTAACTACTTCCTTAGCAACGAAGCTAACGGGCAACAAAAACAAAGCAACTGAAGTCACTTAAACTTTGATGTTGCGAGTTGTATTTTGTGTGCAGTCAGCTCTTAGAAAAACACATTAGACCACTTTTATTTTTGTACCTGTAAGGGTTTTATATAAAGAGCAATTTAAAGCCCGATGAGTGCTGGATTTTAGGGAAGACAAGATACTGATATTGTTGTCAATGTTTTTACATACATCCCCACTAATCCCAAAAATGTGATTCTGTTCATCTGGACGTATCGTTTTCGATACTCATCCAAGTGACTTCTTCAGTCTCAGAATCACAGAATCAGCTTTTTGGGATTTCCTTACCTGGATGATTGAGCATGCATCATGACATCCCCACTAATGTTTGGTTAAATGTCCCTTAGTAAGTTGCACCTTGATCAGATGCTTTTGTTAGTCATAAACAAGCTTCTTGCATAATTTGTTGGATATTTGACCACTCATCTTGGAAAAATTAGTAGAGTTCATTTAAATTGGTTGGTTTCTTGGCACAGACCTGGCTTTTAAACATAGTTCCCAAAGTTTCAAGGAGTTTAGGTCAGAGCTTTGGAAGGGCAATTCCCATTCCGAACCCAGTTTATATGTGGTTTGGGTGTTATTCTCCATCTTTGTCCACATTTCAACTGTTGATTTGAGGTCAAGTTGAAGAATTTGGAGGTAGTCCAAATGTACCAGTACCACTATCAGCAAAATGGTCACATCACTATCATCATTCACTGGCTACCTGTTGGATATGAAATACATTTTAAAATTATATAAATTACTTTTAAATCAAATTCCAGGCCTCAATCCTACTTTATGAACTGATCTGCTACCTGTTTTTTACATTAGGCCTGAAATTGAGCATTTTCTACTCTAATAAAAGCTTTTACTTCAGTAAATTCTTCTATCAATTCTTTATTGACTTATATATGTGTTTTATTAAAAATATTATTAGTAATACAGTTTCAAATTATCACCAGAGTACAGGAGGGGAAGCAGAATTTGATACTGTGGAGATGGGGGACCCAGTGGGAACGCCAGGGAAGGTGAAGGTTCCTCGCAGAACCATTTACTTTGCCAATGGAGAGACCATGGAGGAGTACAGCACTGATGAAGAGGAGGAAGAGGAGCAGACTGCAAAGAAAGAAGTTATTTCTGTAGATCCGGTATGCTATTGGCACAGCAAGAGTCGAATAACAACAATCAATTAGGTTTTTTAAGGATTTTTGAGCCCGTAGTTTTAGTTTTTAAGTCCCACAGCTGAAGTGTACAGCTTCCTGGTGAACACAGTAGACCAGCAGGTTAAGATACAAAACTGAGCAACTATATCATGTTTCAGTCATTTGGAACTGCATTGTTTCTTTATACTTCTTTGTGTTTCCAAATATAAAAGAGGAAGAAAGTTGAGCTTATATTGAAGGGAAATTCAGCTAATATTGTTTGTTCCAGTCAGAGGATGAACTCAGTTGGAAGGCCCAGTATGAGATACTGTACAGATTGTTATGACTTGTGAATACTAATATAGTCCAAGAAGAAAAAGATGCACCTGAAACACTGATACACATAATACGTGCAGTTTTAAAAAATTTCAACATGCTTCTTCAGATTTATTTATTTTTTAATCATATCTCATGTCCACATGCCTGTTTTAGTCCAAACTGACCTGGGGTCCTTACTTCTGGTTCCAAATGTGGAGGATGGCCACCTCCACTGTATCAGGTAAAACTCTACATTGTAAAATTACTCATAAAACACCAGCTGTTGCAGGTTGAAAATACATTCTAATGCCAGAGAAATTTAAATAAAAGTAGAAAATGGAAGCTAGAAGGTTGGCCTGGTGTCATCGCTACATTAAGGCTCTTTAGAGCCTTTCAGGGAGTTTTAAAAATAGCTTTTTGAAGTGGGAATATCAGGAAATGTTATAAATACTTTAGAAAGCCTGAAATGAAATGCATATTTCACAAATTGTTTTATAATTATTGTATTTTAAACATTTTTTAAGTGTTTAGAAGATGTCTCTAATTTGTGTGTGTGTGTGGGTTTTTTTTTTATTATTTTGTTTTGTGTTTTTTGCAGTATGTGACTACATGGGAGAGAAACTGGCCTCTCTCTTTGGCATCACTACACCTAAGTACCAGTATGCCATAGATGAGTACTACCGTATAAAGAAAGAGGTACAACACCATGTCACAGCTTAAAAGCTGCTTACTCAAACGGAGGAGCAAAAACATTAACATTAATCTGGCTCACTGTTGCTTTCCTGCAGGAGGAGGAAGAGGAGGAGGAGGATCGTCTGGCAGAGGAGGCGGAGCATCGGTTTGGGGAGCAACAGAGAGGCAAGCGGGGCGATCCCACAGCTCCTCGTCTGGCTACGGTGGAGCAGCCTGAGGTGTCTCCGGCCTCCTTTGTTAACATCAGCTTCGAGCTCGAGCCTGAGCCTCCTCTCAGCAACCAAGACCCCAACAGAGTCCCGTCTCCTCTCCCCTCCTGAAGAGTGACGGTGGCAGACAGAAACCTCCAAAACACACACACACTTCTGTTAGCTGACAACCCGTTAATCTACCCAGCTATGTAAACTAATAGTTTTGTTATTTTTTTTACATTTTTTTTTATTTTATAAAGGAAGATCTTGGAGTGCAGGGAAACATAAAAAGGGCTGGAGGTGGCTGCACTAGCCTGACCTGTGAATGTATATCTGTGTATGGCAGGGACTGATATATGTACTTAGGCTGTTAAACAGGGTCTAGGTTCAGCTCACTTTAAAATGATGAAGTAGATCCTCGAGGCAACAGTCAATTATTAATTACAGACTGGTGTGAAAATCCATCCAGAACTGGACAGAAATAAGAGAGAGAGTTGGTCCTACCCCCTCTGCTAAACAGAAACATGTTATGTTATAGTTGTTGCCTCACTGATATGCCAATGAAGAGATTGAGTAGTTTTGCACTCTTATCCAGTTCAGCCTGTCTTTGCTGCACTGTCATCTCTGGACAGGCTTCAGAAAAAGCCTTAACATGTTTATAGAAGACAAACCGATAGACCTTATATATTAACTTATATATTCTTATAGGACTGTGTATTAATATTTTGGGTTTTCAAGGTTAAAAGTAGTTACAAAATGAAGACTAAAGCGTTTCAGTACATGTTATATAGTCTGTTAATCAGTCTCTTAGATGTTTATGAGTGAATCGTGACCCTTCACCTTTGCATGCTTACCTCATTCATACTTGATCTTTCCTGACGCGGTGTTTTGATTCATAAAAGATGCTCGGTGTAAAAATAAAAAACGTCAAATTTATGCACATAGCTCTGTTTACACACCTGTGTTGTTTTGGTGTGAGATGCCCAATTTTCGAGGTTTCTGGTGCAAAGATGTCTGTCTCTCTGACGTTACTGCCGAACCGCCAACCATAACTCTCTAGTTACCCATGATCAGAGGCTCAAGATAGCGTGAGATGTAAATGCTCTCAGCTGAGCAGTACCAAGCTGGCTGAGCTCAGCTGCACTGTTATTTTCACTGGCGAATGTAGAAAGTACAAAGAAAAAGAGTTCCTAAATGAAACAGCTTGCATTTCATCCTGGGTTTTTAATGTTTTTGTGATTTGATCACCATGAAAGGAGCGTCGTTTTAGTTCTTTATATAAAAGAGAAGGAAGACATTTCTACAGTCTTAAACAGAGCAATTTGTAAAAAGCCAGACAGATCAGAGGAGTAATCCAAATGATTTGGGGGTAAACTGGCCCTTTAAGGAGGCACCTGCGCTGTTCACATATAGGCAGCCAGACAGATTATGGACCCAAATGGAAAAACCCAAATCAGGTCATCATGGGCAAAAACGTTTTTTGAAAGTGGAATTTTCAATGTCTTAGAGTAAAACAGATATATTTTCTTCTTCTCATCTGTCTAACAATGCCTCATTTTGGATCCCGCCAATTACTTCCTTGCATCTTTTCTTTAGTCATTGTTGTCACATTGTTCATGAAACTCATGCACCACAGGCTTGGAGGTGTGTGCTAAAGACAACGAAGATTTAAATGCCTAAAAGCTAAATTAAAAAAGAATCAGGTCCCAGCTATGAACAAATCGTCCTCCTGCGTGGACCTAACCAATTTCTTTCATCCAAAAATCTTTACTACTTACAAGTGTTTTAATATATTTAAGCGCTCCATCGTCCACAATGTTTCACCTCTGGCCTCCATAACTGTGATGTTTAGTTATTTATTGACCTGATGAACATTTATTAATTTCTGAACAGCTTGTTTGAGTGTTACATTTCCACACGCCCTAATGTTTCATTCATTATTTCTGTGCCACTTAAAGATGAAGTCAGCTGCTTCCCTTTCTTGAGATGTCATAGTAATCAGCTGCGTTTCTATTTTGATGTTATTTACAGCCTCTTTACATAAAATCTAAAACCTTCCGACAGTTAAATCTGACTTAAGCGCTAACTGATGCTCTACGCTGGTGTGAACAGTGGCTCGTGTATACTTCAATCTTTGAATGTCCTTGCTTGTGCCAGTCTAAGCCTCTTAGAAATTGTTTTAATCTTCTCTTTGGCTGTGACGTGTGATGGCAGGCTTCAGATCTCAGCTTGCAGAGTAGCAGCGCTTATAGTCAGAATCGGTCCACAAGCAGACTCCAATGAAATGCCAGCGTATCATAGCAAAAGATCTGTACACTTTGCAGTTAAATGTCTTTCACCAAGTATAAATTATGTTTTTTCTCTATGTAAAGCAGGCTAACATATGCAAAATATTTTCTGATTTAAAGTGAAGCTTTTAATGAATCTTTATATTTCTATATTCTGTGTGTAAATAAAATCTTTAAATAATCAAAAGGGTGTTTTGTTTTGTTTTTAAAATTGTACCGTGTGACTTATTTCTTCTTTTATAGACAGTGCTGTGAAAAACTATCCCTGTGCCTGTGTGAAAAAGTAATTGTCACCTAAACCTGATCACTAGTTCTGCCACTCTTGGCAAGTACTGCAATCAAGTGTTTGAGTAACTGGCATTTCAGACACATTGGAAGGTTTTTAAACAGCCTGTTTAAGGTAATCTCTAATAATCTCATTCTTATTTAAACCCAGATTATGATTGGGTCACTCCATAATTCTTATTTTGGGTTTTTGAGACAGTCAGAGGTGGGCTTGCTGGTCTGTTTCAGATCACTGTCATGCCACATAATCTAAGTGCGCTTGAGCTTCAGAGCATGAACTGATGGCTGAGCATTCAAGATGTTCTTGTTTCATCAATTACAGCAAACCAGATGTAACAGGACTGTAAAAGTTCTTTTGTCTCGGCCGTCCACAGAAGATTTTCCCGAAAGTCATACTTCATTTTGTCAGACAGGTTATATTTGTCAAATTAACAGGTAATTTGTAATCTGTAATCAGGCCTGGGTGTGGCGAATAACATTGAACTCAGCTTTGAAAAGAAATTTGATTAATTCATGATTAACATCACAACAAATATGCAGCAACTGTGTGATGCTGTCATGTCAGCATGGAATGTTTCCAGCATCTTGTTGAATCTACGCCACAGAGAATTACGGCAGTTCTGAAGGGAAAAGGCGTCCAGTTATCATTTCATGTTTAATTTTACAAAAATTTACAAAAACATTAAATTATGATTTTCTTTAGAACTAAAGTAGAAATTTAAAGGAGCATTTTTCACAAAACGTACAAAGGAAATCCAGTAAAAACAAAAAAAGAGCCCACATGTAAATCAGAGGGAGTTACTACGAAGCTAATTTAATGAGCCAGCGGGTCTTTTTAACGGAGGATGCCAAAATTAAATGTAAACAAGCTACTCGATGTAAATTAACTGTCAATTAAAGAGAACAAATTATTACCAGGTGTTAGTAAAGCTGTGCTTATTTACCATTATATAATATTTCCTTTTGATTTTTGATTTTTAAAATTTACTCCAATTTTATTCCCATTTGAACATTTTAAATTTTGTGAGGAAGAAGAAGCAGCAGCTTCCTCACAGGACCAGATGAAGAAAGCTATATTGAATTACCTTCGTAGTAAACCCACCTAGATTTCACAGGTAGGAACAAAGATCAGTATTTGCACGTTCCTCCTTTTTCCTTCAGAGTCTTCCAGCCTTCGAGGCCTTCACATGTGTGCGAGTGAGAAGGGTCAACGTCAACCTGGCATTTTTTGGGAGTAAAACATGAAATTCTCTTTACGTTTCAACCCCGAAACATCTTCATGTATCGTCAAAGTCAGCCATGCTGCTCCCGCCAACCCCGCCGCTGTCACTGTCGTTGGCGACCAGCACTTCTCTGTTCTCATAGGTCCAGAAACCGTTGAGGTCAATCAGGATGCTGACCACTGTGTCGCCCTGACAGCTGTTCACCAGGTCCTGCAGTGTGATCTTGAAGGGGTCTTTAGGCTTCACCATGTCAAAGATCTCATCCTGAAGAGAGAATTAAATGCTCAAAAACATCGCCCACAGCCATTATGGCCACATAAGGTGCTGTTTGTCTGTGATTACCTTTACATCTTGGAAGGAGACCGGCTCCTGTCCGTGCAGCTTGATCTGTTCCTGAATGGCCTGAAGAGAAAAAAAAAATGCTGAAAAATGATCAAGAAAGACTGAATGAAAAAAAACAAACTGCTGAATCAATCCTTTTGATTTTGTTTCACGGAAGCGTGTGCAGCCGATACCCTAAAGAAGTAGTTGAGGGAGAAGACGTTGAGGTGTCCTTGATTCTCCATGTCCAAAAGTTTAAAGATGTACTGTAAAGCCGCTGGCTCCTTCCTGTTCTCCAGAGCCAAAACAAAGTCTAAATAGGTCTTATAGTCCTGGAAAAGGGAAACATTCAAGTCAGACAAATATTGAAATATTTAAACCACAGGAATGATGTTTTGGGAAGTAACACGTTGGTTTTTGGAGCCATATTTGGACAAGAGGGTGGAGTGAAGTTATGAGCTACTGCTTAGCCAGTCTGGTTAGATATTTGCTGATTAGTGCTAAATAACAAACTAATAAAATACTTGGATAGTCTGTTAATACAGTAAACTGCACAGTGAGGCAAATTATTCGTCAGTGCATTTAAAATGCTTCAAAAAGGAACCACAACACAAAATAGGTCCAGTTCAGTAACGAGAGCCAAAGAATAAAAACAGCATGTGAATAAGCCCAGCTTCAATTTGATGCAGTGAATCTTCAGCTCTATAACAACTGAGGTAATGAGGAAAAGAGGTACAATCTTCATAAGCAAAGGTTCGATAAACACCACCTAGTTTCATTTGCACTTTGTGCTGAATTTCTGGGAAAACAGCTTTAATTGAGTCTCAAAGTTTTAAAGTGTTAATCATCCCTGTAAAGTATTTAAAGACCTATAGAGGCTGTAAATATGCTTATTTCTAATGTAAAGTTAGGCATTTAAACATGGGAGCCATGGCCAGTATAGTAGATTTATAGCGACCGCTTTTAGACGTGCGTGTGTGTTAGCTGCCTGAGGAGATCACACAGAGTTCACTCAGTCAGCAGCTCAGGATTAAATCTGTTTGCTTGAAGATGTGTGAGAAAGTCCTCACAGTCACCTGATCTCACCACCAAAAACATCTCTGCCACAGCAGTCAATACTCCAGCGGTTAACGTTATGGACCGTACCATTTCACCCTCGTAGGTAAGGCACTCCTGAAAGACTCTATCCAAAAACACAGAGGTGAGCGTGGCCGTGCCGTAACGTGAAAGCTCCTCTTTGCTCAACATGCCGTTGTGGTCTTTATCCAGGTTCAGGTACTGGCCTGCACAATTTAAAAACACAGATGTAAGCAACAGTACAGGGCACTGATACACAGACACATGCCACACAGAGCACTCTAACTTCACTGACCCAAATGCATGCGTAATGGACCTTCCATGACCTTCCAAGCTATATAGTTTATGTCTTCCATATTTCCAACTATATCCATAATCACATACTGTGTATGCTACCATTGTATATAGTGTATTATCTTACTTTTTTTCATTGATTGTACTTATTTGTATTTTTGTATTTCCTTCATATATCTGTACCTGAGCTGAGGTGACGCAAAAATTTCCCCGTTGTGGGATCAATAAAGTCTTATCTTATCTTATTTTATCTTATCTTAAAATTGGGCCTTTCACCAACATTCCTCTAAATACAGAGGAATACCATTACAATCGGTATCCTGCTGTGCAGATGTGTCCAGATGTTATCTCACCATAGACTCGGAGAGCCGACGGGGCCGAGAACCAGTTGGAGTCCTGACTCTCCTTAGACAACTCCTCGTCTCTCAGCTGGTGACAGAGAAAGGAGAAAAAGGATGACATCAATAAGAGGAAGAGTTGCTTAGGGTTCAATGTGAACATCCTATTGTTATTGGCATCCTGTAACAGACTGTGTGTGATCAATCAAGGAAAAATAAATAAATAAAAAATACCTCCAATAAGTCATCCAGAAAACTGCAGGCCAGGATGTCTTGGATTTTAATCTTTCCTGGAGAAAAGTAAGATAACTTAAAACAAAACAACAACAAAAAACCCACCAAGCCAATAAACCAACACAAAAAAGCCACAAATATTATGTGCGATAACCAAAATCAACCTTTTCTACACTAACACAACCTAAACACAGGAAACATGGCAAATAGCTCCATATAAAGATCAAAATGATTATTTTTCCTTATATCTTGCCTATTGTAATTATTATTGTAATAACTGCAAAGCTGTAGTTAGTTAGTCCTTACAGTGACCATCAGGCTCTGGTTTCAGAAATCAGGATTAACAAATTTTTACTTTAAACTGAGATTAAACTTCAGCTGATCTTATATAATTAATGAGCTGTAAGATGACTGGTATAAAATAAAAATGCCATCTGTGACAGGCATTTTCTTCTCAGTGTGACTGTGACAGTGACCCCACCCTGACAAATGACAGATCACAGACTTTTACATACCTAAAGCATCACACAGAGCAGTTTTATTTAAACACTGGTTTTTACAGTGATGTAAGGCAAATGTTTCAGTGCAGGGAAACTGACTGCAAACCTAACGGCTGCGTTACAGCAGCCTACAGATTTTATTCTGAGGAGATAATAATATTTTCTTTTCTTGTACAATTGACAGATTGATTATAAATGTTAAACAAAAGACATTAATCACTGATGCATAAATGGAGGAAATGAGTCAACTGCTGCAGATACAGCTGGAGGGGAGGAGGCAGAAAGAAAACCTGCCAAGCAAGCAGGTTAGGCTCAGAGAGTTACTCAGAGTTAAATCCAGAGTTTTCCTTATTTCAGGTTTAGAAAACCAACTCTGTCTCGCTCTATAATCTTTCAGCACTTGTCCTGGTTCATGCAAGTGTCTGTTATATGTCATATGTAGCACCATGGTCTTGGAGGAATGTTGTCTTGCTTGTGTACTGTACCATTGCACATGGCTGAAATGACAATAAAGCCACTTGACTTGACTTGCATGGTAATATGCCACGTTCTTATGGGGTTTACTCTCACCTGTTCGGAGTGGGTCGAGGAAGAAGAAGAACTTGCGGACAGCGGTGCAGACGTAGAAGGAGTAGAAGGACTTCTCCAAGCCGTCCAGCTGAGGCAGAGTGGGGATCAGCTCCAGGATGTAATTTTCTAGATCCTACAAAGAATGAGAAGAATTACCATTTTGCTGCATTTATATTTTCACTTGAGATAAAACTGTTTTGTTTTGTTTTAAAGTCACTTGAGCTGAACTTACCGACTCTCTGAGGTACCCCTGTCCAGCCACATCATACAGACTCAGGCCTATCCGGGTCTGATGCAGCCACACTGGATGTAGATGAGAAGGAACAGAAAACAGAAGGGTAAGTC